GGGAGAAAGCGGCGCTCGACCGGCTTTCATCGGCGCCAGCAACTGCACGCAAAATTGACTTTTTCACCGCGAGTTGTAGCGAGGCAACCGCACAGGACTCGGACCACGCTGCTCCTTATCTGCTTATGCATCTAGATATCCTAAACGCGATAATGGGTGCCTTGTGTTGCAAAGCCTGCCACGGACCGGCTACGATCGTCAGAGGGGATCGGGACTACGGACTTGCCGTGAAAGTGCCAGTGCAGTGTGAAAGGTGCGGCGAGATCGCGAATGAATGGACTTCGCCCCGCGCGAACGGCATGAAAACGTGCAATCCGTTTGAAGTAAATCTTCTCGCTTCGAGGGCGATGGTGGCTACCGGCAACGGCCAAACGAAAATGAACGATATTTTCGCAACAATGGGCATCTCACACCGCGGTATGCACCACAAGACGTTTCAGCGGCATTTGAAGAACACGCTGGCACCCGCTGCAACGCGAGCGGCTGAGTCCGCTATGAGCGAATGTGCGGAAAAGGTTAGAACAATTTATGATGACTTGTGCTTCGGCCACCGGGGCAATATTGCCGTTAGCTACGACGGCACGTGGAAGACGCGAGGCCATTCTTCCCACATCGGCGTGGGCACAGTTATCGAATTATTTAGTGGCTACGTGTTGGACTACGTCGTTCTTTCCAACTTTTGCCTAGGCTGCGAGGTGGGCCCAAAGCCTAGTAGTGAGGGCTATCAAGAATGGAAGGCTAACTACAAATGCCAAAAAAATACGAACAGCAAAGCGGGGCAAATGGAAGTGGAGGCGGCTCTAATTCTATTTCAGAGGTCGCTTGAACACCATGGCCTGCGCTACACAACTATGCTGTCTGATGGAGACTCTAGGACATTTTGCGCCATACAAGACGCCAAGGTGTATGGTTACATTGACGTGCAGAAGGAAGACTGTATTAATCATGTACAGAAACGGATGGGCACCGCATTGAGAAACCTGGTGCAGAAACAAAAGTTCGATGGGAAAAGAGGCCTTGGTGGGAAAGGCAGGCTCACAGGTGAGCTGATCACCAGGCTGAGCACATATTATGGCCGGGCTCTGAAATCGCATGAAGGTGACGTGGGCGAGATGCAAAAGGCTGTGATGGCCACATACCGCCACGTCACCTCCACTGATGAATGCTCGGACCACAGTCTGTGCCCAGCTGGTGAAACTTCATGGTGTCGGCACAATGCCGCAAAAGCAAAGGGTGAGCCCGACCCCAGGCATGCCTACAATCTACCGAAAGACGTGGCAGAGGCATTACTACCGGTTTATACCCGGCTTTCGGAAAGAGCCCTGCTTCAGAGGTGCGAACGCGGCAAAACGCAGAACTCCAACGAGAGCCTACATTCGGTAATCTGGAGTTTGGCCCCCAAGGAGCACCATGCGTCCCTGTTCGCTGTTGAAGCAGCTGTTGCAGAAGCAGTGCTGCGCTTCAACACGGGCAATTTGAATTCTGCAACGGCAATCTTAGGTGAAATGGACATGAATGCGACAAGTACTGGTGCCAGGAGAGCGAGAGAAAAAGACCACCGTCGCAGCATTGTCTCCAACAAGAAAAGAACAGCCTCATTGGAACTCCGGAAGCTAGTGAAGAGGAGGCATGAGCACAGAATGCATTCAGACTATGCTTCTGGTGCGTTTTGAGGTTGTCTTGTTGCATCTTCTGCAATAAAAATGTGTGCCCACGTTTTTTCTCGATTTCTGAAAACGACAATTTTCATGTGCTTCCCATTATGCCGGAGCAATATCTCTTGTTCTATCTGGGTTATCATTACGATTTTTTTTTTGTTTCGAAGATAAATGCAGGGGATGTGTCGTAAAGTAAGTTTTATTGTAATAATTTTTGGAGAAAATTCTCTAAATGGATCTTTTGTTTCAAGTGTAGATGGGGAAATTTTTCATGTCATATTCAACATCCCACAACTTTGCTTCGAAATAGCCCAGAACAATGATTTATACTTTATTGCACACTGTGAACATACCGAATTGGTTCTATAGGTTGCACATCAATATCCAAGTTACAGTTAATTAGCTAATTAGGCCTTAATTGAAAAAGTCGCAGTTCATTATATCTTTAAAACTAATTGTCACAGCAAAAAAAGAATTAGATTTTTGAAATCAGCAGTAAAATCTACATAGGCTCTCCAAATTTGACTGAGGTACTCGCAAAAATTAAAGAGTTTTTGGAAGGTGTAGCATCCCCCCTTAAAAGTTAACTGTATAATCACAGCAGAAGTTTTCCATTTCAAACATTTTTTTACTTATAGTGTATATTAAATATATATGCTACATTTATGTGATTGGACAGACCATTCCTTTCACTACACTTTGGTACCAAATAATGTAAATAAGGCATTATCTAGCCGCAAAAAAATTTTTTTGCACACCTAGTAAAACCGGCCCCTTTTCCCATGGCAGCGAAAAAGTTGACAGGAATTTCGTTTACTGAGAGGTACTACCGTGAGCAATACGAGTTGGAACACGCGAGCGCGTGGAAAATAGCCTTTAACTCTACATCGGTCTATTCACAGCGACCGCGGTCTATTCACAGCGACCGCTGTGAGAAACAAAGTGGAAAGGGCGCCGCACTTACGATAGCTGTTGACACTCCTGTCTCGATATCGTAGGAGCAAAACGGCAACTTGTAGTATGTCCAAAACCGCTAGCGGCTATATCAATTCACATGATCGTGCACAGCTACATCCCGTGTCACATCAAATTATGTAGCCGCCGCAATATAGACTGACGTAGTCTACCATGATGTACAGGCCATGCTTTCATCAAGTCTAGGTGGTGTTGGCTGGTCATTTTGATATGCTTTTTTCATTATTTTTTTTTTCTTGAAGTAGCGATATCGCAGACTACGGCTGTTTTTGCCGAGTATTGTTTTGGGTTCCAGTGCCTAAACATGTCGCGAGTGCCTATACATAAGCGGGGAGAAGTCGTTCAATTATCACTGAAAGGTTACCCGCAGAAAAGCATTGCTACCTTTACGGGCTGTAATCTCAGCACTGTTAACAGGATATTCCAAACTTATCGAGATGAAGGACAAATTAAGGATGCGCTGCATAAAAGGCGACCCCGTACCACATTGTTCGACCAAGATCAGTGAGTTGTTGCTGTAGTCAGCGAGAAACCATTTTTAAATGCAAAAGATGTGTGCCGTACTCTAGACCTTGCGAATGTAAGTGATAGCACAATACGGCGGAGGCTAAGGGAAGCTGCACTCCGAAGTCGCATCGCCGCTCAAAAGCCCCTTCTCACATGTGCCAACAAAACGGCTTCGCCTCAAGTTCGTGGTCGATCACCGCAGCTGGACGGTGGAGGACTAGAAATATGTCGTCTTCTCCGACGAAGAAACTTTCTCCAGCCACTGGGACCAGCAGACAAGAGTGTGACGCATGGACAGCACATCAAGGAGGTAGCCGCAAGTGGTCGCACATCGGTAAACGTTTGAGCAGCTATCTCGCATGACGGACAAAGTCCCCTTGCAAGAATCTCCAGGAGATTCACAAATGATGTGTATTGCACGCTGCTGGAGCACGAGATGATTCCATATGTATTGAATGGCTTACACCCGTATGAATGCTATTTATTACAGCAGGACTTGTCTCCCGTGAATACAGCAAAGAACATTGCAAGTATTTTAGGTGAGCGAGGGGTAATGTGCCTTGAGTAGTACGTGAAGGGTGCGGACATAAACATTACTGAACACGTGTGGGTAGTATGAAGGCTAATCTTTCTAGGCTTTCTTTGGACTTGGTGACAGCTGATGAACTGTGGGAGGCTCTACAAGAAGAGTGAAAACATATTCAAGCTGAGACAACCTTCATCGAGGCTTTCTACAGGTCCCTGCCAGAAAGAATGAAAGCTAGATTCAAGCCGGTGAAGCCATGACCCGTTATTAGCCCAGTAAACATGTATGAAAAGGACGAGCTAGCTGATAAATTGTGCGCAATAAAATTTGTTACAATTTTAGGAGCATACAATAAATGTTTTCAACTAACTACATTGTGCAACTTTTCTCGGTCAACAAGACCAGCAAACTGCACAACAGTCATATTTCTACGCTGGGACGTTCTCCGCTAGCAAGTAAAGGAATACAGGGGTGTTTGGCGCCTAACCCTAGGCAACAGATTATGACGTTCTGCATGCTTTAATCTCTTACCAATGCTAGCGGCCGATGGCACGTTATAAGCTGCCGTTTCGAAGCAACGCCAGAGAAGCGGGAGTGAAAACAGTTCATGGAAGAGAACTCCTCCTTTCCCCGCCGGTTTCGGCAGCGCCATCCACGTACGACGCTATCGGTTTTGAAGCTATTTGCCACATGCTCGCACGTTTTAGCTCATATTGCTCACGATAGTACATAAAGAATGCAAAATACAAGTATTGAGCAAATCATGCTAGATGCAGATGCTCCGCTTAAGCAGTAGTTCAGTTTAAGAAATTTCCATTTACTGAGAGTCTACTGTAACAGCAAACAAAGACATGTTCAACCTGTACCTACAACAGAAAAACAAAAAATTGTTCATGATGGCACAAAGGCAACTACAATTCAACGTAGCCATGAAATTGTTCTTTGTCCTGCACGGTATGCATAACATTGTCTTCGTTTATTCTATAGTGTGGTCTGTCAAGTGTCCACTTCCGAACCAACGCTTCTGCACCCTTTCAGCGATGTGGCACATTCCAATTTAATTATTTTACAGAAATGAAAAACGCTAACCAGCTCAACAAAATTGTTTTATACTTTACAATAGGCTAATGTAAAATTGAAGCTGCTGACTACAAACATCAAAACATGTTCACTTGATGCTACTCATTAATTGTCTCAATTATACAAGCCATCTTATGTGTACTGCTGAGTGCCTTTTAGACTAATTCTTAATGCTGTTTTGGTGTTCAAAAACACTGCTATAAATTTTCACAAATGCTAATAATGAGTGAGAAAAAAAAAGCCTCAGCACTTACCGCATTATGTAGTACTGTCTCGACAGCCTCACAACTCTCAAAGATGACAAAGCCGCAGTTCTGAAAAATACACAAAAGACACTGTTTTGGCATGCAGGCTGATGCTGAGCTCTTGCATCTGCATGTCCTTGATTTACATCAAGGTCTTAAGGTGATTTTGAGAAAATTGCAGACTGACATGTGGACATGCCTAACAGCTGTGCAGGTGCAACACCTTCAACTTTCTCACTGCTATCCTAGGGAACAATGTTGGTGAAGTAGCACGAACTAAGAGTAATGAGAAAAAACTCTACACCAACGTTTAAGGGAGCAGTGATAAAAGTTGTGCATGTAAGTCATTTTACATGCACAAGTAGTTATTGACCACAATAAAAGGGATTCAAAACTCAAAATGCAAATGAGAGATGAATAACTATCTCTTATATTGATTTACATATACAGTATAGAGCAAAAAAAAAAAGACCATACTGATGGCTTACTTTAAGTCTATAAAAATTACGTAGGGGACATCAAGTTTAAAAATTATATATGCATTCTTCACTCATTAAGGAATATGACTGCAAAATTTCATCTTGATCTGGCTATCAGATGTACCAAAATCATGATTTCAAAGCTAAAGAACATTCCTAAAGTTGTATCTTGAGAAAAACGCATTTCAAAAGTATTTGCCCAGAGATCGGGCAATAGGTCGCAACAACATCACCGCGCTAGTGTGGCTAGGCGGCTGGCGGCGCGCATACAGAAGTACATAGTGGTGCTTTTTGTTTAAGCAGTGTGAGGCAATTGTCAGCAAATGAAAGGCATTGGCTACAGCCTACTCCTAATAATATATATATATATATATATATATATATATATATATATATATACACATACATATATGTTGTCCATCGCTGAATAGATGCACGAACGTTACTATTACTTCCGAGAGAAGCGCAATCTGCCATTAAAAGGGTTGTTCACGCTTGACATTTAAATTTTTGCACTGTCGCTTTTTTATTTTTATTTGTAAGGGTTTAGCATCTGTCCCACCAACAGGGCACTGCTGCAGTGAGACTGAATTTGGTTTACGCATGCTGGTCTTGGATACTAAAAAAAGAGAACGAAAGAAATCCCATATTCTTGGACGATGAGAATTACAAGTACGCCTGCACATTTTTTTCTTATTCAGTTCTCCATGAAATGAATGCACAACAGTTTTTATAAGTTTATTCAGAAAAGCTACGTCGTTGAAAGCGCTTTAGCGCCATGTTTTTACTCATAATAAAAAGGTAACAGTTCAGCACGCACCATTCTCCAATTGATTACTATCGTATCAGTGATGCAACGAGGGTTCAGGTATTTGATGGGACAATTTTTTTTCACGCGAATAATGTCCGCTATTTTTATCAGTCTATAACGCCACAAAACCTCTCAAGCTAAATGTTGAAAAATGACGTTTTGCGTGAAATTATACGACACAAGTAGGAGGCCTGCTGCCTGGATTGAAATTTTGACAATCTGGGTTCTTCAAAAGCGAACCCAAATCATAGCACACAGGTGTGTTTGTATAAATTTCACCCAAGGTTACAATTGTGCACGGGGACTCAAGTTTAGTCACCTCCATGTCATTCCACTTTCTGTTGTTTTTATGAGACAATTCATGTACTGAAATGTCAGAATTGAGAAGACTGAAATATTTCACTAACAGGACCATGACCATACAATAAAAGGTAATATCAAGCACAATAAAGGTCATCCAATAAGTAACAGAGCTGCAGTTAGACACCTAAGAACAATGCAAAACTCCGTTCACCACAAGCTGAATCGCTAAAACGCTGAATTCACATAATCAGTGATGCTACCGAGGTCTTCCGATTCGGAGCCCTTTGGAGCAGGAAAATTTTCCATCTTGGAGCAATATGGAGCATCTAACTTCAAATCCTAGACGAGAAGCAAGTTGCATTTATATTCAAGGACATGAAAAATTATTCTGACGCCCTTGTGAAGAGTTATAAATATTTTAGATTTATTGCGAATTTCATGCAGTTAATCATCTTAGAAGCACTCCCTATTTCAGTTGACGATGCAAGAATAATGGCATCACTGTTGAGCATTCCGGAAAAGCGTGTTCAATGATAATTCCCGTAGCAAATAAACAAAATACTGGTTGAATAAAATTGCACTTCATGAAATAATATAAATACACCTACGTGGCTATGAGCAGATATTGTAGACAAATGCTGCGACGTACAACGTTAGAGACTCACACAGTCCCAAGTGCATTTCCCTCAGATGACTTCGAGAATTTAAACTGCTGGGCGTAATATGACATTCATCTAGTCTCAAAAAGCCAACCCCCTCCGGCACTCATCTCTTTGCTGAAACTAAACAATATAAAAAACTTCGTTTTCCTTTTGCAGCAATACTTTATGTGGCTAGGGCTGTCTCCATACTCCAAGAAACCCCTACCGTGTCCTCTAAACAGTGCATAAAGAAAAGTCACAGCTTTGCCGCAAAAGCGAAGCAATGAACGCGATAGCAACAAATTGGAACATCACGCGCATAATCAAAAGCAGACCCAAACGTGCCCCGCATTTCCCATGCACAAATGACGCATGTACTCACAGGTACAGATGATGAAAACAAATAAGCATCCGAGTTTTTACTTCGCTGTGTCTGAGAAACGCACGCTTTTCGCAAATTGAGGCTGCAATAATAGCAGTAACCTTTGTGCGCCCAGTAACTACTGCAATGATAGCAGTGACTTTTGTGCGCCCAGTAACTACAACAGAATCGTTCCAGCTAGAGCCCGAGGCTAGCCAAGACCTACCATCCTCCTCACGCGATAAGGGCGCCCAAGAGAGCGTCATTCCCTTCCTCAAAGCAGGGTAAAGTGTGCATGGGCGATTACAGCGTGCACCGCCAGACGATGTGGCGACGCATGCTCAGTGCGCCATCTTGCTGGTAATGCTGAAAACACCATAATCCCCCCTCCCCCAAAGTTCCATCAGCAGAGGCAAGCAAGCGGTAGATATAAATAGCTTGCCCTTTAGTCTTTTTTTTTTCATTTATGTGTGTGCGAGTGTGCGCGCGTGCGTGTGTGTATGTGCGTGTGTGTGTGCGTGTACATATACAGTGAGTGACAAAGACGCAGACAGCAAAATCCAGCCGAGAATGCCCATATATTTGCTATTGCAATAAAAATCTCACAGGGTACCTTATGCATACGCCTCAGACAACTCCAAGGCAAGATTCATTTTGTCTTAATTGGGATAGCAATTATATGGACATTCTCGACTGGTTTTTGACCTTACCATGGGTGTAGCCAAAATTTAAAAAAAAAAATTGGGGGGTGGGTGGTTGCAACTTAATCTGAAACTGGGGGGGAGGGGGAGCACATTCCCAATGTGCCCCCCAACCCCGCTGCGCCACTGGCCGTGATGTTTTGTGTAATGTCCCAATTGATAACATGCCTAGGCGCATGGTATTTTACATGCAGGTAAAAGCCTGCGAGGGAGCTACGCCCGCCACTAAAGCAGAGATAAGAAGAGGCGACCTATCTCCTATGCACTGAGGGCGTATGTTATAACATTCCCTGTGTGCCAGGCCTTCCATCGATTGTTGCTCAAGCAAAGAGGAACACGCCACCCGTGTCGAAGGAACTGGAATAAGGAGCTAGAAACGCGAAGGGGGTGGGGTTATGAACTTAGACTTTGCGTGTGTAATCGCTGGCGCACCAGCTATTTACGGCTGATATACAGTATTCTTTTATCTTGTACTCTCAACACGAACCGACTGTGTGAAAAGTGCTTTGCTTTTTCTTTTACCTTGTACTTTCAACACGAACAGACTGCAAAAAGTGCTTCGCTTTCTAGAGCAGTGAGCCTTGATCACAAGGTGGCCCCACACCATCGTCGCACCATTTCGGAGGTCCATTCGTACGTGCCATTCGTGCTGTACAGATAGAATCACACTGGTCTAGAGCAGCGGAGTGCGTGCCTGTCAACATTGTTGTTGGCCGCGGCTTCTGTTTCACGTTAGCTATAAGGTACTGTTGATGCTTACATAACAGCTCAAAGGTCTAATGCGCAATGACCATGTTTGGTAGCATTACAGCATTTCTATTTAAATATTTCTGAATAAAACGCCAGCTGAAGCGGCCGGCTGGGCGTTCAGAAGAAGTCTGATTCCATTGCAAGAGATGTTTCGGGTGTCTCTAGTCACCAAAGTCGCAGATATCGAACACCGTGCGTGCAGGCAGATATCGAACACCGTGCGTGCAGGAAGTTTTTGAGAGTGTGCAGACCTTGGAAACTGCAACCCTGCCACTAGCACTCCTCACAGATGACGTCAAGCCATATTAATTGGAATAACAATACAATTTATCGACATTGCATTCAATGCTAAGAGCGTAAGTGAAGTCTTTTAGATTTCGATATTGCCGATATCGCACAACTCAAAAGAACGATGGCTAAAGGGATAATGATCGCTCTAGTTGCCAAAGCTTTCGGGCTGTCAGTTATCTATACGTGAAGCAGAGGTTAGCAGCACAGAAAGTTCACGAGCAGTCTCATTATGCCTTGTGATAGTGCGTGCCAGCCATCTTCAAGCGACACAGCAGCCTACCCTCCACCCCTCCCTTCAATATGAAACAATAAATGTGACGCCATGGTGTTCAATTTTCTTTCTAACCGTCAGCCCTTGAACCCGAAAAGTGAGAGGCAGACATGTAACAAAGCGTAGCCGCTTCACAGGCCTTCCAACAACAGAGCCGCCAGCGATGGCCTCACTATAGCTGCGCGTATTTAAACCGAATTGCGGCTGGCCTGGCAAGGAGGCATGCTTTTATTAATGAGATGATATTTAAAGCAAAAGCACGCGAAAGTTTTCAATTTGGACCCTAGCCACCTCGAGTTCAAAAGGGCAGGGTCTTTTACCGCCACACCAATTATAAACGCGAATGAAAGTGCTGGTGGAAGGACTTACGATACAGCTGTTCTGTATGATGATCCATGGATAAAGTGTCAATGCATCCCCACGATTTACGTGTTCTTCTGTAGACGCGAAGCATGAAAAGT